AAAAAGACGACAAAGAAATCTAAAAAGGTTTTTAAACATGTCTCGTGAATTTTGATATTATTATAATAATTTTAGGATGTTAAGGAAGCTCCGAGGGGTTCGCAACGGGCTTGTAATCTCGTAGAAACTCTTTGGTAATCCAGTAATCCAAAAGATAATCTTGGAATAATCCAGTAATCTTGGAAGAATTCAGTAATCTGTAATCCAGGATTTAACAAATTTACTGAAAAATTCTAATAATAATTTTGAGTATCCAAAATTAAAACCCCACCCCTTGGTTTTATAAAAAGTTATTAAAACCACACCCATTATTAATTAATAAGGTGTGGCTCAAAGCCAAATTAATCAACTTGTAATCCTTGGTAATCCAAGTAATCCAGCTTGTAATCCCTGGTAATCCAAAGAATCTACCTATAATCTTGGTAATCCACTTATAATCTTGGAATTCTCCTGGTAATCCAGTAATCAATTGGTAATACTGATAATTTTTGTAATCTCGTAGAGATTTTCGTCCCGTTGCGAACCCCTCGGGAAGCTCCTAAAGCCACAGCCCCTCCCCCTGGATTGGTGTACACCCACCACAGAATCCCTCTACTCATAAAAGAAGTGAAACGGCTAAAAAGGAGGGAGGGGCTTCAAAGACTAAGTTTGTTCCATTGCAGAGGAGGTTCGACAGGGTCAAAAGGTCACTTAATTAGCATCACGTGAGCCCTTATTAGAAATGGGACACGGTTTTTTACTGGTGTTCCCATAGTTTTTATTCCCCCACATGGTTTCCAAAAGGATTTTAAGAAACTTGACCTTTTCAGCGTCCATGTGCCCCGCTTAATTTCTTTATGAGGCAAAAGGCAATAGTAGTCTGATACTGAAAAAGCAGAACTGTTCAATACATACTTTCACTCGGTTTACTCTTCCGCCTCAACTTGTCATTCTCCACCAGACATCCCTGTCGCACATAACCTGACAGAAGTTGTTGTTTCTATTAGCGACACTTTTAAAGTACTATCTGAGCTCAATCCTGCAAAGGCCATGGGTAGTGATGGTATCAGTCCTGCAGTATTGAAGCATTGTGCTACACCTCTGTGTACACCACTTTGCCATCTTTTCTGTGTATCTCTTAAATCTGCTTGTATTCCTTCAGATTGGAAAGTCCACAAGATTACTCCAATCTTCAAGTCTGGAGATAGAACATCAGTAGTAAACTATAGACCTATTTCCCTTCTCAGTTCTGTATCAAAAGTTCTGGAGAAACTAATCTATGATAAGGTATTGGACTTCTTATATCCATCCTTTTCTCTATCACAATTTGGGTTCTTACAAGGTCGATCTTCTCTTCAGCAGCTATTAATCCTC